AGAACAGACAAAAAGTCAGTTGTTCACTTAATTCCCAGGCATTTCATTTCTGGGCAGAATATCTTACATGTTTTATAACGCTGACCGTAGGAAAATGTTTGTACTTTGACAGAGCAGGTATTTGTCTCTAATATTAATGCCATTTCTGGCAACAGGAACTGTACTGTACAGTTTCATGCTGAGCTATTTTTTCCTCCTCTTGCAAATCTCCACTGGAGCGCTGGATGATACCATGAGTGTGACAGGGGTTCGAAACACCAGGCAGGTGTGTGTGAGGGTCACTGCAATGCCCAGCAGTGATGCTTGCAGTTCAGATTAAAATGGTGCACGGGCACATCTTCACGGATGGGGCTTTTGATGCAACAGAAAAAGTGGGTGTTGGTCATACCAAATTAGGCATTAGAAAGCTGATGTGAACACCTTGCTTGATACGGACATTAGTCAGGTCCTTCAAGTTTTGTGTTTGAAAAATAATTCCTATCTCCCTATTAGTGCCAATTTTTAGGCACTCAAGAAATGTACAAGTTTTGGAATTTATCTAATATGCAAGTTTGGGCTGCTACAGCTGATTGATGCTGTTTAGCTGATTTTCTGAAAATGTATTTATTAATATTATTAAAAAGACAGCTATGTATATACGACGGTAGGCACTCCAGCAGGTTTTTGACAATATAATGGATATAGTGATATCCAAGAAGTACTGGATATTAAGCCATCAACCGCCACCAACCCTGGTTTTTCAAGGACTAGATCAGACAGATACTGTGCAAATCCTCTCCAAAAGCCCTGTAGCACAAAGGCAGACCTGAGCTGACTGTCCTAGACCCTGGCTCAGCGGACCACCAAATTTCAGAGAGATTTTTTCAGAGATTCGGATTCAGAGGGCAGCAGAGCTACGTGTCTCAGAGTAAGCAGTCTTGGGCTCTCTGATGAGGGGAAATATCTCAGAGGAGACCCTGCTGACCACTGTGGTGGCAGGACGGCATGGGGAAAGAGGTAGTTCCTCTTGCAGGCTGGTCCCTCCTCTCAGAGACACTGATGACTTAAATTCTGCCAAAGATCAGGCAACAGCCAGCTCCTTGGAGACCCTGCAGTGCTTATGCCCAGTGTTCCCCACAAACAGCCCTAGTCACTGACATTGTATGGGATCAGTAGCTTAAGGGTTTCAAGCTATAATCTATCTATAGAATTCTCTCTTTTCTCTCTGTTGTATTTCGTTCTCTGTTTGGAAAAAAACACTTTTTCAAGCCTCAAGTTAGGCTCTTCCTGTTTGTATATTTTTACTTCAGCTAGTTCTTCCACCTAGAGATGAATATCTTCTCCTTGTTGCTAGGACTTTCCAGGCTGACATACCTCCAGGAAATTTAAGCTGTCCTGGATGAATGCCCAAAAATGTGCTTTAATTTCATGGGTCACTTACACTTGTATTCAGGCATGACATGATCAAATACCCATCAGTTCAGAGGCTGACCTTGCCCATCAGAAAATATACAAGTGAAAAATGTTTAATCTTTCTTGCAGCTAGAGAAACAGAGGGCTGAAGAAAAAACTGGTTGTGGTTGTATTATATTTGCTGTGCACTGCAGATGCCTTCTGCACGTGGGCTGAGGTTTCAGCTGCTGTTACTTACCCTACCTGGAGACAGCTGTGAATTTAGCCTCACATCATGCTTGTAAAAGTTTGGCTTATATAGAGTTTGGTTTATACAAAGATAAGATTCTCCAAAATGGAGTTCAACGCTAGACTGATTTTGAACAAAGTCTGCCTGGAAAACCCCATTTAATTTCCTTGGTAACTGTTGGGGTCCCAGGATATCTAGAAATGTGCTTATTCAGGTGCTTCAGAGCGCAAGAACACGACACGTGGAGGCACAGAAATTTCTGAGGAAGCCCTGGTTGGAGCTGGCGTCTGCAAGCAGGGACCCATGGTGCCACACACAGATAGTAGTACAGGCCTGAAAGCAGTGTAAGGTGCAAGCTAATCCTGCAAGTGGTGAAAGCCTGAAGGCGGTCTCAGCCAGGCAGTGCTGTGCCTGAGCCAGCAGCAGTTACAGTGCTCGGCGGTTTGGGCCAGCCTCAGCGACTGCCCAGGCACTGCCTGAATCCTTTGCATTAGCTCTGGGCTGTCAATACATCTGTTCTTCTCTGCCTGTTCCCCCTCATCGGTCCCATCGCCTGGGGATAGGAACTCTGCTGCTTTTGGTGGCTTAGAAGTTGCTATGAGACTCCAAAAGAGATGCTCTGTTAGCCCTCAATCCCGGGTAATTTTCACTAGGTGTAATTACAGTCTGGCTCCCCTCCATTCCCCCTGAAACTTCACTTTGAAATTCTCTATTGCTGCTTCCTATTAAGAGAAGCCATTTCACTTCACTCATGGTGATTGTGCTTCAGAAGAGAGTAAAATGATTTCTAAATGCAGCTGGGAAATGCTTTCAGCTGGGGCTTACTCTTGCTTTTTTAAGCAGAATGGAATAAAATTGTTGATCAACAAAAGAACTGGGAACTGAAGCTTTATGCATACACATCTGAGAGAAGTCTTGCTGATAAAAGGGAAGGTAAAATAATTCTTTCTTTTTTCAAAAGCTGACCTTTCCTCCTGCGTGGTAAACCCAATTACAATGACTGCACTGATTTCATTGCAGCACCACTGGGAGCACTCTAAATCCATAAAATAAATTAACATAAGCACTAAGCACAAAGCACACATGATAGATATATGGAAAACTATACTAAGTTCTTCCTTTGCAATATTAATATATTATTTAAAGAAGCTGTGAATGAATGCTTATAACTCATGGATAAACATTTTTAGCTACATATGAATTGTGATAGAAAAGGAATAAACCTCTCTGTTTATTGCTAAGAAGGTGTCTTTTTGCAGAAGATTTAGTAAAATAAGAATTTCTACTCCCTATCCATCACTGACAGTAATTCAGATCCTATTACACAAACTTTGTAAAAACACGTTTTACCTAATTCTGTCATCTACAGTGGAGAGACCTTTGGAATCATCTTTGCATTTTTTATATTATAATTCTTTCCTGACAAACTGATTTATAAACCTCTAGACAGATAAGACTGCACAACATATGTGAAGAAGTGTAGCACACTAGACAGTTAAAAATGGATAATAACAAAAAATGGATATGTATGACAAAACTTGGAAAAATGACCTTGCTTGCAAGTTACTTGCAGTATTATGTTTATTTATTTAATAGAAAATTGCATAAAAGGTGATTTTAGCTTTCAGCTGTTAAGAATGTATTTGTTGATTCTTAAGTCTACCTTCAGGCAAGGCTTGAATTTTAATTGCATTATATTATATTTTAATTGACTATACAGTCACTGAGTGAATGTATAATTAATGCAATATGTAATTAAGGTAATGTCTAATTAACTGTTCTTATAGCTCATTTAGGAAGCCTGTTGTTGATAGTAGTTACCTGGATAACGGTTGAGATCGTTCCAAATACTTTTTATTACTGGTCAAAATTGCTCATATGAGAGATTAAATGAATTTTAATGTTTTATCTCTTCTAATGACATTAGTAATGGATTTTGTAGGGTTCTGTATTGACTAACAAAATTGGACATTTAATAAATATATTCAGGACTGGTTCATGTTCAAGCTAGTTAAATCACATACGAAATGTTAGCTTTTGGATTCGTTAACCAGAGGAAATAGAAAGTTGCTCCTTTATGAACCGTTCATTTCTGCTTCAACCCATTGATTATGTTCAAATATAATTTTGAAGTTAATGGAGATATTATGGAGATATTTCCATATATGTGCTGCATGTAGCTCCTGTTACATAATCACAGAATGGCCGAGGTTGGAAGGGACCTCTGGAGATCATCTCGTCCAACCCCCCTGCTCAGGTAAGGACATCTAGATCACGTTGCACAGGATCGTGTCCAGATAGCTTTTGAATATCTCCAGGGAAGAAGACTCCACAACCTCTCTGGGCAACCTGTGCCAGTGCTCTCTCACTCTCCCAGGAAAGAGGTTTTTCCTCATGCTCAGATGGACCTTCCTGTCTTTCAGTTTGTGCCCGTTGCCTCTTGTGCTGTCACTGGGCACCACCGAGAAGAGTCTGCCCCATCCTCTTGACACCTTCCCTTCAGACACTTGTACACATTGATCAGATCCCCCCCCAGTCTAGTCTTCTCCAGGCTGAACAGGCCCAGCTCCCTCAGCCTTTCCTCATAGGAGACATGCTCCAGTGCCTTCATCATCTTCGTAGCCCTCCGCTGGACTCTGTCCAGTAGTGCCGTGTCTCTCTTGTCCTGGGGAGTCCAGAACTGGACACAGTAGTCCAGGTGAGACCTCAGCAGGGCTGAGGAGAGGGGGAGGATCACCTCCCTCCACCTGCTGCCAACACTCTGCTTAAGGCACCCCAGGAGACCATTGCCCTTCTTGGCCACAGGGGCACTCTGCTGCCTCATGCTTAACTTGTTCACCAAGACTCCCAGGTCCTTCTCGGCAGAGCTGCTTTCCAGCAGGTCAGCCCCCAGCCTGTACTGCTGCATGGGATTATTCCTCCCCAGGTGCAGGACCCTGCACTTGCCTTTGTTGGACTTCAGGAGGTTCCTCTCTGCCCAGCTCTCCAGCCTGTCCA